TGCTCGTGGTTCCCTCCTTTGCGTCCCATTCAGGGGCTGGCGCTAACACGATATTAAGCGTCTGATCTCTACACTCGAAAGATGTGTAGTGCTTGCAAGTTCGCGTCTCGTCATCATGTCTCTCTCCAAGGCGATGTTGATTCCAATACCCTACGCTCTGCTATCTCCGAGGTAAATGATAAAAATGATAAAACTTTTGGCAGTGATGTATCTTCAAGTAAGTAGCACGCGCACTTTATCCAAAATATCCAAAGTCGTGATGCGATTTGGTTGATGCCATGAATTGCGGGGATAAGCTCATGTACAAGTCTGTGTTTTTATCCTCTCACACGCACCAGCTAAATGCGAAATTCGCGATTGAAGAACGTATAGTAGTCCCAGGAAAGTGCGAAATCATGGGTAATTTACTCTTTAGTGATTCTCGAAGAAGTGTGAATAGGGTTTACGGACTACTTGATTTTTCCTCAATGGTCCTGCCGCGATGGCTAGAGCACAGACGATTAGAGAACGGGTGAATGCCCTAGGACTAAGCCTTGGAGAGGAGAGGGACCCGCGAGAGAGCGCAGAGGCGGTTTAAGGGCTGAGTTCAAGTAGTGCGTCGACCAAGCTATGGACGAAGAAGTTGAATGGGCTTGCGCGTTCGGACAAGTTTGCCAAATACTGTTTAGCTTCATGCGAGCAATCGGTGTGCTATTGGCGCAGATTGTTCATTCCTGTAGTACATCTTTCACTTTTCCTTTCTTTCTTCATTTCTTTCTTTCTTTCCCGTCTCATCTTCTTGAACCTCACTGCAATGCTGCTGGTTTTTATGGTGGTCACTCCGTTCAGCTCTTTAGGATCAGCTTCCAACGTGGGGTGGCCACGCGGGAGTGCAGGATAGAAAGTGTACAGTGAACCCGCCTTCTACTGCATCATACTATTGTATGCGATTGTTTTGTCTCTATACTCCAAAATCGAACGCTTCAACCGGATTCTTTCATTGCGTTGCCTCATACGTGGCTGCCCTAGACGCACTACCGCCTTTGGCGCCACGCGACGTACCTTCAGCCGTCCACAGGGTTAAGTTTGTTTCTCATAGGGAAGTGAATCTTCGTGCGTGAAACTTTGTATGCTGTCTCCAGTGATCACGACTGGCAAAGGAGGATTCCACGACAAGAACGAAGGCAAAGAAGGGGAAACCTTCAGTGGAATACAGGTGGGCCTCCTAAGGGTGCGGACCAAAGCCATTCGCATGGAAGGCTAGGATTTTTTTCCACGCTGTTGTCCAGTAAGCTAGAGATCTAACTATTCCTATACCACATGGTGGACGACACAACGTGATGTATCGCGTGTTCTTGCTAGCATCGGACGGTCTGTGCCTCGGGAGAAGATCATAAATCCAAGTCTGAAAAACATGGCCCTCTTCTTTCTCCATTTTAAACTCGAAGAAAGATCTAGGAATGTGGTTCACTGGGGCAGAAGAGCGACTTTTTCGCGTTTCGCGCGCGAAACATTTTTCGCTGCAGGGAACTCCAGGTCCACTCATGATCAGTGGTGGACCTGAGGTTCCTGCAGCGAAAAATGTTTCGCGCTGCGAAACGCGAAAAAGTCGCTTTCTGTCGTAGTGAACCGAACCCATTCCGTCGTAGGTCATTTCATACAGGTACCTCTTCGTGGCTTACTTGGTCGTATCCAGAAATCGTAAATGAAATTTTGGCGTGAGGTCCAAAGAAGTGGCGTTAATATGCAGACATCCTGTGGATAGGTGGAATGTGGCGACGGACTTTTGGCTCGTCCGGGTTAGGCACGCGGCAAATTGCGCGGCGATCCCGACGCATCGCGGGAATTCAACACGTCAACGTGTGAAGATTGCGGATAAAATCCGCAAGGTTCTGCAATTCGAAATACATCTGAACGGCTGGAATTTTGAGGACAGCGGTGGTTGTAACAGTAGGAAGAGATAAGAAGGAACTAGCGTAGTGCTGTTACGGCAATCAGGGCGCTCATGTCTTTGGGGGGGGGGACGTTCCATTAGGGGGAAGTGAGTGAGCCAATCACTGTGTTTGGGACGAGACTTAGGGAGGAGAAGGGATTCTGGGGGAAGTAATTTTTGTTCTCCCTGGCGTTCCTCCCTGTGCTGGGCTTAGTCCTAGTGACCTACCATCGACCCTGTTTTGTTGTTTTGTTTCGAATGTTTCTCCTTTGGACGTGAGCGCCTCGATCAGCAAAACATATATAGTTGACGTTAAATACCTCAACAAAAACTCCCAATTTTAGTGACTCTTATTTGCTTTGATGGTAGTAGTGACATTTACATGAAGCCCTCACTCATCTCCTTGCGCTGAAATCTCCTCACCGATACTGCTGCTTCCAACCCCGCGAGCGGAAAGATTTTCAAACAGCAGAACCATGCGGAGTTTATCCGCAATCTGCACACGCATTGACGTGTTGAATTCTACCCGAAGAACCCGCGAAGCCTTGTCCCGTCCAGATCGCCGCGCGTGCCGCCGCGCAACTCGCCGCGTGCAGTCCGGACGAGCCAAAAGTCCCGCATCCCGGTGGAATGGTCGTGTGAAGTTGTTGTGTGATTGGCGAGAAGCCAGGTATGCAGAAAATTTCGACCGCAGAAACAAATGAATAAAAAGCAGCTTGCATTCAACCTCGCTTGCTTGTTTTGTTTGGTCTACTATCAAAAGCAGGGAAATGTCATGGCTTGTACGTCAAGGTAGTTTTGAAGCGACGTGCGATCAATCACTCAATTTTTCTTTCCTCATTAGTGCACGCCAGACTAGAAGAACAGCAACCCGTACTGGAACAAAAGCTACATTATTTTCTATGATAATTTTCTATGACGCACTACTTTCCTAACAGGTTGTTTGCAGGATTGTCAAGAAGTTTGGGGTCTTGTATTATGACTACTCTAGAAAGTTGTCATGCTTTCAACATTCGATAATGTCTCGGCTAGTCATTTACTATGTAAGCACAATTTTTGATTTCTTTGTGTCCCACTTTCATAGAATTGAAATGCTAATTAGAAAAATATTCAAAATATTAAGCAGCATCGCAGTTCAGGGTATAATATCATCATCGCTGTTGGTGTCACTATCGAAAACACTGTCGGATTTGCGGATATCTATTAAAGCTTTAATCATCCACAATTGTGGGTGTGACTGTACAGTTGCCGAGTTCGTCAGCTTCATCAAGTGCACAAATGTGAAAGTGTTAGCTATTGATGTTTTCGAGATGAAGGATTTTGGGAAGTCGCTCGCAAAGGAAGAAGTGATTCAAAGTGTAAGTGGACTCTGATGGCTTCTCGATTTTCCGGCTTCAATTTATTTACTGGAATTACATTAAAGAATCCTCAGCTTGTAGAAGATGCCTTTTTATTGTGGCAGGTGTAGCCTAACAATTATTTATTCGCTTGGAGCTGAGTGCGTGTCTCCCGTAGTTCGTCAGGTAGGGTTATTACGAGTGGGATTAACTCTATCAGCCATCACTACCTGATCAACGTAGCTGTCATTATCTGAAGGATTTCAGCACTGAGGGTTACGATTAGGTTGTCCAATGGGTAGTGTCGTTTTTCTGAACAAATTTATCCTATAACATCCCACGCTTTCGCTATGAATCATTCTCAAGAAAATTGCATGGTCATGCACTGTATCTTTTTTATACACTTTGTAACATGACTGAAAGGTCCGGTAGACGACAAATGGCCAAACTGGAATTCATGTCAAACGCTATATTTCTCCGGAGGAAGTCACTCAGTAATTTTTCCTATACTAGACTTCACATCTTGATAGCATTCCTTTTTTGAACCTTCCAACAAGTCATACTGTTCTTTTTTGTAATTTCACTTTTCAGATTGACAAGTATAATGTTGTAGTTTTTTTACCCATTATTTTTTCTGTAACACTCTATTTTCCATACATTTCATACATCGTTAGAAAGCGCTCTTCTGCTCTATGCATTCATGTTTCGCTTTTCCTGTCGTCATGATTTCGATTGATTTTTGGGCTTACGTACCATGACTAAGTGCTCATCATCAGTTTTTCATGCCTCGGCGGTAAACATTTAGCTCAGATTCGACGAGACAGCGGCCAACCATCTATTCGGGCTGGATAACCAAATTCTGAAATAGAACTATGCTACTTCTCGGAAACATTCAATAAATGTGCAATTGAGGAGAGGTTGTGAATAAGGTACATTACTGATTGATTTCTCTCCCGAGGAGCACGGAGTTTGAGGTATTTGCCCTTGGATGCTACTTGTCTACTGGACCTCCCGATTTGCAAGCCTGTGAACGACATCGCGCGTTTTGGGTTTTTGCACCGCGTGGGACCACAGCGCCGCCGCACACCAAATCCATGGATTTTGAGCTGTAAATACGCAATACTTAGATGCGATGAAGTGTTTTCAATAATGTTCGATCTGTCTAACTTATCAGGAGTTACAGTAATGGAAGTTCGACCAAAATGACGTGTTATGGCCATGAAAGGCTAATTTCACTTACCTAGTTCCAGTGAAGAGACATATCCGTGAGGGCTGGAAAAACCTCTGCTAAACTAAAGAATATTTGATTATTCTGTGAGCATGGTCTATAGAATGAACTTAAGACCTCAAGAATAAGTTGCGCAAGCGCAAGAAAAAGGGATGACTTGGGCGGGACGCGTTACCGCGTCACGCTGTCATCAAAGTGTTAAGAATGTGTATAAAAGTGATGCCACGTATCGTCTAAAACAGACTATTCTCTTTCGGATGATCCATGACGTCATGTGGAAATATGAGACCTTACCACACCGGAACATAGGACATTTTTGCGGAAAAATTCCCATTCAAAGAAAAACGACACCATTCGGCCGACAGCCTAATACTTTACTTGGATAAACTGTCATAATAAGGTTGAGAAGGAATTATATTGAGATTGAAGTCCCTCAGTCATTCTGTCAGTGTTACCTTTACGCAACACTTCTTGCATTTATCGCCTTCAATAATTTCTTGAGATTCCCAGTGTTGCTTCCTGCTTATAGAGTAGATTTTCATTATCAGTGCTTTCGCTCTTTTAGCGACTGGAGCAACTTATTCTTTTTTCTCCAAAAACATGTAGAACCTTGGTGTTCTTGACGCGAACGCATCTATTGGAGATTACAAAAATGGACACTTAATTCCCACGGCAAACAACATTATCAATCAATTGTCAACGAAATGGACTTTATGTCAAAAATACAAGAATCCATTCTCAAGCCTTTCTTCCCATCTTTTACGTTGTTAGGGGAGTCGTTCAGGCCATAGAGCGCTTTCATATGTTGCATGTTTTTTCATAGGAACACGGCCATTGAGCCCAAAACTTTTAGAATGCCAAATAGTGTGTGTAGGATAGAAGTAGAAACTAGAGCTTTGAGAAATTGCAGTTTTTACTACTATCATGTCTTGGGTTACATT